AAGTTTCCATACAAGAACTTGATTCCGATTGATATATGTATGCTATAGTGATCCGATCTGAACAATATCTTCGAAGTATGTAATAAAGCTTTCCATACAAGAACTTGATTTTGATCGTTCAGCTTGTATGGCAGCTATTTGCTATAGTGGTCCGATATCGGCGGTCCCGACAAATAAACAGCTTTTTGGGGAGAGAAGAACGTGTCCAAAACTTCAGAGCGATATCTCGAAACCTGAGGGACTAGTTCACGTTTAGACAGACGGACATGGCTAAATTAACTCAGCTCGTTACGCTGATCATTTATGTATATTTTATAGTCTCCGATGCTCTTTCTGGGTATTACAAACATCGTGGCTAACTTAATAATATAGAAAGAAGAAGAGGGAAATCGGTGACTACAGATAAAAGCCTTGAAAGCTGGGCATAAAAATTTCTGGCGTTAATTTTTACATGTTTATATTCCTTATGTTCAGATGAAACTTTCGAAAAAGATGATACTAGAGTAGTGTAAAATTTTATCAAAAGAAACTGGCATCATAATCCAGTATACATTATTAAGTATGCTGAAATAGTACAAAACCAATTGTATATATTACTATCTTAAGTGAGAATTGATGAACGGAACATTTTCGGTATAAAATGGCAGGAGAACCGGAGAGTTAAAGATCCGTATATTCGTATTGGTATACCTAGCAGAATGTGTGGATCGATGCAATCCATTTTTGTACCTACTCAAAAAATGTTAGTTGAAATCTAACATAATTTAATTCAGATATCCTATAACCTCACCGATATATACGCTTTAAGGTGAACCGGATGGAGGAAGTCGATCATGGGGTCCAACCTTTCTTTTAAATTTCAGTTATATATTTATAGTCTTATAACATACGTTTGTGGAGCTTAAAAAAAGACTTCGTTAATTTTTAAACGAACCTAATAATGTTACATAGTTGAAATGAAAAAAAATAAAATTAAAATAAAAAAACAATATACTATCTCCATCTTCAGGAGTTTTCAACAAATTAAATAATACGTGTTTTTGTTTCCTTTTATATAACAATTTCTCAGACAGTTGTTTGATGACACAAGCATACTCAACCCAGAGCACAGGCACTTAAACTTGCTAGGAATGGTAATAGCATTCATTTTATGATTTCTGATTAATTTTTTTCGAGAAAAGCTATGTCGGTACAAGATTTGTTTACATAGCCTATAGAATTTGCTTCTCGATATCGACAAGATCTTCTTTTTGCTTCAGTTTAGTAGTGAAAGTGTTACCATTAAATGATTGTTTATACTTTTGATAGACTAAGACTCAGTGATAAAGTTTTTTTTTCAATAAAATTAGAGTATAATCTATGAGCCTAATTGCTCTTGTCTGTTAAAGCCTAACACTGTTTGAAAAGAGTATTCTTACTATTAATGTCCGCAAACCCTTCAGCGTGTGTCTCTAAGCTAAAAGTAGACCACTCCAGAACTTTATAGCAGTTATGGGATTAGAATTTTAACTTTACAGACTCTGAAGTATAATCGAGATTGCTATAAGCCAGCTTCAGGCAAAATCAAATTTGAAATCAAAAAACTCTTGAAATATGCACCAAAACGATTATCAAAGCATTAAACATTCAGAATCAATTGCTGACCACCATCTTCAAGAATTTCATTACTTTGCGAGTGGCGCTCAACATTATCTATGCAGAGAAATCTCTGTAATTTCACAAACCACACACAGTCGTGCGCCACACACAAACATCAGCGATAAACCTAAAATATATATTTTATAATTACTATCCCGTTAATTAGTACAAATTAGTATTTTGCATATGGTGTTCCAGCAAACAAACGAGAACCGCCAAAGCAAACCGCAACTGCCGACCGCAAGACACACAGCAGAAGCCGGGAGAGGCTTATGAGCACATATTAGCAAATATTACAGTTGAAGACAAGAGTTTTAATGCAGGAACTCATATTTTACACAAATAAAGACGAAGTTTAAGCAAACATTTAACGCAAAATATCTGTAAATCTCCTAATTATTAAAAAAAAAAAACAGCCGATTCCGCAGATTTACACGATACACCTTTCGATCGGCTGCGAGACTGAACGAGATTCCAACACAGTAGCGGCACGCAGAGCAACAACAAAAAGCGTAAATAATTATAGCCTTTGCAATAATAATGCCACCAAGTGTGGCAGCTGAAGTCCTGTAGCTCCTTTCCCAGCACACAGTAGCCGATATGTTTCTGTGTGCGTGCACTTTGGTCTACGCATCTGAATAGTTCGCAGGGATTTTCATCAATTTGTGCCACAAATTCGGATAATTGGCAATTTTCTTTTATTAGCCGCTGCCACTGTCGCTGCCGTTTGCTACCGTTTCTCTACAAAAACAATGTTGCTTGCATCGTTATTATGTTTTTTGTTGTATGTCAGTGTGTTGTGTGCGTGTACTCACTGACTGACCGCTACCAATGAAAACAACTTAATCCTCTTGTTTCAGAGCCACAATAGAAAATTGCCGATGAAATTGTCAAAACATTTACCTACTCGTAAAGTACTTGCTGGCCTTTGATTGTAGCCGCTAATAGCGAAGAAATAATCTACTTTTTTATATTTATTATTAATTTAGTTGGGAAAAATCATAAATTCTCAGGCTATTGAAGGTGGTTCATAAAATAATTGTTCGTAGATAGTTTTTACACTTGTATGAACTCATAAATCGATGGCGAAAATTTAAGAGAGAAATGAAAATGAATTAAAAAATATATATATAATTCTATGGGAACTCGAAATTGATGGACAAAATTTCCTTTAGTCAAAAACAATCACCATACATACAGGTTAGTCAAGTATGATGCCGTAAAGAATCCTAATAATTCAACAATTTTATATACAGCTCACTACCATATATGGGCACTTTAGAGTTAAGTTTTTAGAGTTTGAAAATCTAATATCTTCGTCGAAGTCTGCGCTAACAGTTTTTGTCCGTAGGACAAAAAATTCTTCACTCTACCACCCACTCCGGTGTCTGTTTTTCTGCTATTTCGCCGTTTCCTTGGGTCTAGTGTTTTCTTTCGACATTTCTACATATAATTTCCTAGCTTTTTGTTATTATGTGCAGTTTCTTCGAATAACAGTTATTTTGCTGCGTTCGAAAAAAATCTCTGCATGATTGGATAGGAAAATTATTAAACAAAGCAAACATTTATTAGTCTAGGGTCCCAAAATAAGTAAAAGCTTTGATGACAATCATATGTATATCTAATAGCGTGACTCTTGTAGAGCTCGAGAGAAAATTTTTGCGAAATATTTGTAGTACTTTAGGCCTTGGCAACTGTAATGGCAAAAAAAACAACAGTTCCAACGACAGTTATATCTAAATAATGAGAACGAACTCTGATATTTAAACGGTCTAGAACTGTCAAATCGTTGAAATTCTCCAGGGCAGCATAGAGAATGTTTCGCTGCAACAACGTCATAAACATAACACGACAAAAAATTTAAACTTTGCTTTGTAGAACTCTCCAGTTTCCGTTTAATGCATTACCGCCTGTTGGTAGTAGAGAAAAAGAAATATTTTCGTGGGTTTGGAGATTCGAGTGAAGGAACACTAATCTCCACTTAATGGCACCTTTATAGTACCACACAAAATTGCTTAGACTGACTTCGACCAAATAAGGGACAAGAAGTAGACTTAGTAGTTTAGAAGTAGTTTACTTAGACTAGGGATACCAAACGGCTCACTTCACACATAAGAACAAGACTTTGACTCAGCGCGACCAAGTAAAAACAAGCACAGCATTTTTGGAACAATATCTAAACTGATCACTGAAACTGTTAATATGCACTGGATCCGACAGGCTTATATTAATGGAGACCAATATATTATAATAAATAAAAAGGCAGATGAGGTGGCCGGTTCGTGGGCAGCTGGAAATGCAATTTCCCTAAGCTGCCCCAGACCATTCAGCTCTTTCAAGGGTTATTTCAAGCAATGTACCCTAGAGGAACACCTCAGGTCTTGGAACACTAGCAACACAGGGCATACCACAAAGTTTGGGATATTGTTGATGGTGGACAGACCAAAAAGCTTCTATTCCTAGGAGCACGGGAACTTGGTATTATTTCAGGGTTTACCACAGGAATGAGAGGGAATATATTCCGCAGACTCCCAATGCTCCAACTTAAGAGACATTGGACAGTTGGGATGCAAAAAAACAGGTTTTTTCTAAATCCACTGAGTTGCTGGACAAGGCTTAACTTGGCTAACACCCGGGAGCCAATGCCATAAGTGTGGCTGCCAATTAATCAAAAACCTCAATAATTCGCTATCGAGACATTTTACGAAATTCCGGGAACAACGTTGTTGTAGTATTATATTCTCGTTGCTTGTAAGTTTTTCCTAACAGACATTTGATTGACATACCGGATTCAGACTAATAAGCAAAACACGCAACAGCTTTGAAAACTCCGTTTGAGAGCTCTAAAATTACAACATTGTGGCGTCGAGGCTATGTGATGAATAACAATTGATTTTTATATATATAATATTAATATGTATTATATCATCTCACGCATGATCTTGTGATTGGGCGGCAGAAATTTTGTCTCAAGTTGTAGAATACAAAGCTGAAGAAGTGCAATGCATTCTACATACTTTTTAGACGAATTTCAATATTATTAAACATTAGATAATAATAAAAAAAATTGCAGCTTCCAGTTACAACAATACTTCTGACAAATTCCATTTTATTATGTGGAACAACAACAAAAACATTATTATATGTTGTATGGGTTTCGTGATAAATTTGTGTTTTTTATTTATTCCTCACATTGTTTGAGCTTGAAGATAATTCAATATATGGAATTACCGAATGCAAACACAGCTAATTATATCAACGAAATGACAAAGCAAAATAAAACAGTAGAAAATATATGTATAAATGCTGGATATATACGCGATATACAGCATTAGTATTCGTATTTGAAACTAATCTGCATTCAGCAGTAGCAATCATAATACCCTACCGCTGACCGTCACTATCGCTACGAAATATTCATAAAGACGGAGAGACGCGCGCGCAGAGCTTGCGTTTCAGAGCTGAGCCGGTAGCTCACACGCAAAGCGCTGGAGCGAAACACTTGCTCGCTGGCAGGGCGCATCGTCAGTTACTGTTTGACATTTGCTATAAAAACATTCAACAATTGGAGGAGCAAGTACTCTCGCATTAAGCATATCACATTTGTTCATTATGTCTATACAAGCACAACCATTGCCAGTGAATTTTATTGTCACCAAAGTGGTTAAACTGCTTTTTGTTTTTGTGGTTTTGGCAAGTGCGTTAATTTTCTGTGATGCTTCGCTTGCGGAAAACGGCTTGCAAAATATACGCGTAAAACGTATTGTGGGTGGTCGCCAATCGAAAGCGCCACCACCTGACGATCCGGTCGTATTTACGCGCACCTTTAATCGCGATGCGCGCGTCGAAGGTTTTCGCAATACTCGCACCGGCATCTATTCATTCCTCGGCATGCACTATGCCGAACCACCAATTGGTCTATTGCGTTATGCGCGTCCAGTCTACAAGCGTATGGCTGGTGATATTAATGCGACACAATATGGCTCGCCCTGTATACAACCCGATCCATATGATCCGCGTCGCGTGGTGGGTACTGAAAATTGTTTACTACTGAACGTGTTTACCCCACGTATGCCGGATGAAAACACCGGTTTGCCAGTGTACGTCTGGATACATCCAGGTGGTTTCCGTTATGGTTCTGCAGCGCAATATGATGCGACACCTATGGCGCAACAAGGTATAATAGTCGTAACACCACAATATCGTCTTGGTTCGTTGGGTATTATGGGTGATGGCACTAAGGAGTTCGATGGCAATTTGGCGATTTTCGATATGGCTGCTGCCTTACGTTGGGTTAACGATTATATACATCATTTTGGCGGCGATCCAAAACAAATCAAGGCTATTGGTCATGGTTCGGGCGCTGCGAGTGCAATGTATTTGTCGATGTCACGTTCGGCACGTAGCGCAAGTAATATATCGGGTGTGGTGGCGATGTCCGGTACAGCATTGTCGCAATATGCGACTGACAAGGAACCCGTACAGAGTGTGGAAGAGGTGGCGAGCATTAATGGTTGTCCGACGACGAATGAGCTGGCGATTGTGCAGTGCTTGAGAGAGGTACATATACAATGTATATATAAATTATGATATATAATATGTAATATTCATTGTGAGTAAATGTGATTGAAAGCAACTGTGTATAGAAAAAAGTGAATTTGCGACGAGTTTTGGCAATTAGAGAGTGAAATATGCTTTAGTAGGGCTTTGCAGCTTCTTATCGACTTTAGAATGAAAAAATGTTGTATAAAAAACTGGTCGTGCACTAAGTTCAGTTATAAAAGCTACTTAGAGCTAAGCTGATAACAATTCTTAGGTAATAAAAAGAAACAAACAAAACTCGTTATATTCCTTAGGTCGAAATTAGTCCCATTTAAATCTAATATCAACTGCAATTATTTTTTAACCTAAATTTCAAAGACGCCGTGCACTCAGCTTTTGTGTTAAAACTCAGAGAAAGTATAGTAGAAGAAGACAGACAAGGTATATAGTTTAAGACTAGTATAGCGTTCATTGAAATGAAATTTGGAACCACGGCCTCTTATAATTGACAAAATTTTGCAAAAGGGTTAGGTAGAAGGAAACAGATTAACACCGATAGTCTCCTCAAAGAGATCGGACTCTAGATAATAATTAAGTAATTTATCCCTTCGATGAAAAAGACTATTGTATAATACACTTTCTTATACATTTATCAGAAATCCGCCGAGGAAATCATACAAAATGACTCGAAAGTCCAAACGGAACGTCTTGCCGGTCGCGCGATTGTTAAGAGTCTTACTGGCAGTGCCGGCTTCACACCACATATCGAGGGTGAAAACGATGGACGTGCCTTACCAAGCTTAATTGTGGGTGCACCGGAGGAACAGCTGCGTAGTGGCAACTTCACACCCATACCGTTGTTAACGGGCGTCACAAAACACGAGACCGCGAATGCCGTTAGCATTGGCACGCTCAATCGGATCTTTGGTTCGGTAGAACAATTTCTCAATTCACTCACCGACGTTCTGAAAGATCTAACAGGATTTCTGCGCATCGATAAGGTTACAGGAGAAATCTTAAAACCCGTGTTGCCCGGCCTAACATCGGCTTTGACACCCACGCTCAACGATTTGCTCAAGGTGCCGGAAACATTAAATCTGGATCAAGTGTTATCGAAGGTATTTATATATTTTTGATTTTATAAACGGAAATTACTTGAAAATACCTCTTTTAGGTTGTTGAAACCACCACCGATATGCTCTTCAATCTGCCCGCTGTTCTAACCACACAGGTGTGGTCTCAGATCGCGCCTTCATTTATGTATAGCTTCGAATATAATGGCACACGTTCGAAGGGTATACATTTCTTGCGTGGTCTACCAATCGTTTCGGAGCAAGCTAATAATAGTAATCCAGAAATAGTGGCGCATGGCGACGAACTCGGCTATATGTTCGATGCAAATGATCTGTTCGGAAATCCCATAGCCGAAGCAAAGCTGGTCGATGAAGAAGAACTGAAAGTGCGTAAAAACTTAATTGGTATGTTATTGACGTTCGCCAAATCAGTTGGCACAGAAAATAAGAAAGAGTCTGGCGGCATCTCGCTCTTTCGAAGCGTAACCGGCAAAGGAGTGCCTTTCATAAAAGTAAATACGGAACTAAGTGCCGACAGTGATTTTCGTTTTTGTGAGCTCTCCGTGTTAGGCGCCTCACTTACGCCACTGACTTCTACAACTTGTGAAAGTTTGGGTGGTTTGCTGACACCGTTAACGGGTGTAGTTGGTGGAGCGCTGGGCGGTGTTGGCGATGTTCTCGGCGTAGGCGATGGGGATAATGGCGGTGTAGTAGATAATCTTGGAAATACTTTAGGTGGCGCGCTGGGTGGTGGTGGTGAAAGTCCTAGTGGTGGTCAGAGACCAGGCGGACAATCGAATGGCGGCAGTGGATTACTTGGTAGTGTTGCTGGTAGACCTGGTGGTGGTCGGGGACACGGTGAACAATCGACTGGCGGTGGTGGACTGCTTGGTAGTGGTGGTTTGTTGGGTTGAAATACTTGAGCTTTATATATTTTTTTTTTGTAAAAAAATCAATAGCAAAAATTTAATAAAATCAGATGAATCTGTAAACTTATTTGCAATAAATATCTGAGTTTTCAAATCCCATGCTAAAGGATAGGGAAAGACTGTTAAATTATATCAAACTAAACCTCAAACTTTGGCTGTGCAAGGTTTAACACTAGAACTACGAAGATTTACCATATACCTATTTCAAATACGTCTTTCTGTCTGAAAATTAGAAGCGTAAGAAGAAAATAATTTATAATATAATTCTATACACAAATTTAATAAAAATCATGACATTATCGTAAAATATTAAATAGGGATAAGGAGGAAATGGTATAAATAAATGATGTAACCGGTCATTTTGACCGGTTCGTAGTTCTAGTGTTAATCGTAGTTGACGATTAACATTGATACGAAATATCCGGCAATCTGCGGAATTTATAGTTAAAGCCAAGTGATCCTGAATGACATATAATACACCATACAGTCATGTTTCATAACCTCTTGCAGTAGAGTAACGATAAGTTCTCCCAAAAGGCATGCATTTAAGTTTTTATATTATACTTTGTCGATTTCTACTTCAATGATCGGTTTTATTCTCATCCTAAACTTGTAAATCCATTTAACTTTATACAGCAAGATGGACGGGGAAGAATGAAAATTTCAGTTATGAATCGAGTATCATGGATTACTCGCGCTGTTGAATCGAAACCTATTTTTGAAATGCAAACTTAAATCCCTTAACTTAGACCACTTAATCACAGCAATATAGTATTTTTCTTAACCTGCCAGTAAGTGGAAGCGTAGCCAATGACAATATCGGCTGACATGGCTCATGACGTTGACCCCACTGTTCTGAAAAAATTCAGTAAAATATCAGCTAATGGTAAAGGAAAATAAAAGAGGCCTAACGTGCCTTGAAAATTCCAAGAGGAGATGAACTCAAACTCATTAGCGCCGAAATAGCAATAACACCTTATTGCAAATCTTGTTCACTGGGTTAAAACTATTTATGCTAATTACACCATTTTCTTGTGATTTGTACTTGAAGGAATGTTCTCTAAAAACACTGAAATAATACAAGAGCTCGCTGGGCTGCGAACATTTTTCAGCTGAGACTAGATGCATAGCGAAGACTGAAGTTAACAGGAGGGTCTTTGGAAGACGATGAGTCGCATTGTCTTATGCTCAGTTGTTCAGACTTGGTGTATATACTCAGAACTTAATTATTTAAACAAATCTTCTTCTGTCACAAAAGCTTCAACTTTTACTGAAAATATGGCAAGCAGCACAGCTTCTATGACGCTATGACGCTTTAATCTAATCCAAACCCAAATCCATCTGAGAAGTACATTTACACCCACATATAAAATAAATTAAGTGTTAATTATAACGGTTTTATTAGTATTTTCTATTTCCGGAAGTCTCATTATTTTTGACACATCTATTATCAATTAATTTTCAGCTCGGATTTGCAGAAAATCAAATCACTTCCACTTAATAAAACCTTAAGCACACCGAGCCACATCATTCCACCTATAACAACAACAGCAATCACTATAACCAGAAGCCACCAAACATATAATTTGTGTTTAACCATAAATACCGTGTCTGCAGCAACGCCCACCCACCACAGCCGCAACCTCATCCCTCCAGCTGACACAACAATTTTGACACGTACTTGAATGCTGTCAAAATTCATACGTTCCTCCGCTTAACATACGACGACGCGGCTAAATGAGTGTGTTAATAAGTAAGCAGGCGAAATATGTTTAACAACCACAACAATTGTACAACAAAAATACCAAAAAAAAATTCAGCACTGTAATCGAATGGCACAAATGCTGGAGCAACAGCAGCCAATTATGTGGAAAATGTGCGCAAGGAATTTCATGACATATGAGGAAATCTGCAATTTGCGAAAACGTTGCCGAAGGAAGGCGAAACCAAACCGAGTCAGCAAGCAAAAAATACAAAAAAAAAAACAAAACGCAAAACACGGAAAGAAATCAAAACAAGCGCTAGGAGGGCGCACAAGCTGGCGGGTTGACGAGCTGACGGCTTGGCGCTTTAACGTTTCGGTCGAACGGCTGACAAGCGGGCGAATTGGTGAAAATCTGGTTGGATGGGTGGATGTGAACAAGTGCTAAAAGCCGATTTCACTGTAATTACAATTCACACACCGAGTGAGGTGAGGGCTATTGTAATGGGTGCGTAGAGCAACGAGCTGGCGGCAGGGAATCGGTGCAGGAGGCAGGGTGGCAAATGAAAACAAATGCCAGCAAAGACAAGGAAACCATAGAAGGTGGAAATCTAGCAAATGTGTTCTTTTTGTTTGAGAGCACTTAAGAGACACCACGTCCACCACCACCACCATCATCGTTAGCAGCAGTGTTATGGACCACGAGCTGCGAACGCCCACAATACAACGCAGAAATCCGCCCAACCGAACGCTTACCACAGAGCAAATGACAAGTTTAACCACACGACGTGCAAACAAAAGCGCACACAAAGCAACGCAAAGCATCGGCAAGCGGGTGTGTGCGGTGGGTTGAGGTCTCGCTGCTTATTCTTCTTTACAAATCGACCGCAGTGACGACCAAATAAAAACTTTCGCTTGCAAGTAGCAAAAATCACAGCGGCGCGTGTATACCTTGTATTACAACAACAACTGCGAAAGCAACAATAAAATGCTGTTGTCGGCTTGGCAAGTGAATCTCGGTCACATTTTGCGCATCCTAGCACCCCGCCCACAGCTTCTTCTCATCACTCACGCTCCTTTCCAAGGCTGCCGACGAGTCCCTGCTGCCAAGTCGTTGCCGCCGCGACAGCAATAGAAATGTCATAAACAAACCGATTAAATGTGTGCATGACAACAATAACAATAATAATACCACACAAATGAGGTGGGCACTAAAAGCAAGGGGTGTGACAACAACTGCCAACACCAACAAAATCAAAATTATTTGATTCTCGCTGAAACTCCAAAACTCACCTCCAGCCACGGCACTGAAACGCCTTACAACAAAATAACGAAGTGTTTGTGTGTGTGCGTTGTAAAGAGCTAGAAGTTGTTGTTGGTGTTGCACGCACCAGTTTTTAAATGTCACAATTATTTGGCATACAAATGGGATTAAAATTAATGTCAACGCTCGTGCAACGGTTCGGCAGTTGAAGTTGTTGTAAAATTATGAAAACAGTTAAAGGATTACAACAACAACACGCAGCTACTGTCTTAAACCGGTAAAAAGTTTACAAAATTGGTTGTTGCTTGTTGAGTGTTTTTGACATAATTATAGGGATTTCGAATATGAATCTGAGAGCGACGTCGCTCAAACGCAGCCAAAGTTTTGTTGTACGACAACACGAACATAATAATCCGCAAATCCTCCGACACTTATGTATTGTACTTTAGAGTGCCTGGGTATTGAAGGTTAGCTTCACTTCTACCCAGTTCAAGGCTGAAAATATGGAGTTTGTACACAAGTAAAGAACACTACAACCTAAAATACTAAATTGCCTTCAAACAGACGACTCTTCTTCTATAACAACTTTGTTTGGAAAACGGAGATCAATAAACATATTACTTTTAACGCACTTATTACCAGACTGAAAGTTGAAACAAACAGTTCCCTAACTATGTTATGCCGCACATATTTTGGTCTTGGACTCAAAACCTGGTGATATTTCGATATTTTGAGTGAATGGCGACAAAATCTGGTGGCTGGTGTTTTAAATATTATTGCTATCCGAGAGCCAAAAAGAACGTGACTACCCCTTTCACTAACTAGACGAAGGAGTAAAGACTCGATGAAAATTACAGTCAACGACGCCATAAGATCAACTTTCCACAAGCCGAGGATGTTGTACATCGAAAATTTTGGCAGTTCCCAATCAACATCCGTATAACCCTCTTTCATTGGAAGGTATTCGGGGTGTCAAAGGCCTACCAACAGCAGATCAAGAATTAGAGTTGAGTTCAGGGAACATTGTAGCACATTAAACCCCTATTTATCTAGGCTTTATTGCAACTAAAGAGAAGTATGCAAATGCAAGACTTCTCGGACAAAAAAAAAACATAGGTCAGGTTGAAAAACCCCAAACAATTTGGGTGCTTCTTAAGTGATAATTTCGAACTGTTCGAACGGACCGTGTATTTTGTTCTATCAAGATTAATGAGAGAAATGAATCTGGTGTAGAGCGAGAAGAACCCAATTTATTTATTTCATGAAACAAAACATTTTTAGTTACTCTCATACTATTGTTGCAAGCAAATAAGAGAGCTTGTTAAGTAACGGTTAGGTATTCGGAAACCACAAAGACTCATTTTTTTTATATTTTGGGAATATAAAAGAATCGACGCGTTATTAAAAATGCACGCAAAAACTTCGGAGAGGAATAAAGCGAACATAGATCAGCTTGAATAACCCAAACACAGTCTTCTATAATAATAATATATAATTAGGTTAATGGACCATATACGCGATTTCTTCAAAATTACGAAACGAATATGTATTCGGAAAGCAAAACTTCGGAGAACTACATATCTGTATTAAGTGGAGTCATCGGTGGCGGTCAATCGGCTCTTATTTAATCAATCCATAGAGACTGTAGTACAAATGGGTATTATGAAAGTTTTCAAGGAGATAAAAGAACTAAAACGTTATAAGAGACTCCCAAAAAAACCTGCCGAGTGATACACTCTGAGACGACTTATCATTGTTCTTTTAGTACAGTACACTACTATTCTACATAACCCCGATGCTGTGAGGCATTTTTATGTAACATTTTCAAGTGGATTTGGAAACATTTTATATCTTGAATGGTCTGGTCGATATGATATTTGTATTATCATAACAAATTAGTGAAAGGATATGATGTGAAGTATTTATCAAGACAATATTTACAAAAAGTAAGAGTGTGACTAGTGCTAGAAAGTGACAAGAATTATGAAGAAGAGTGTAGGATTACACTGGAAATATGCTTACATACAGACATACAAACAAAAGTAGGTGCATATTTAACTATTTGTCCGTAAGCAAATAGCTAATATCTGATATTTTCTGTAATAGAGAGCGCCACGAGTGCGGGCATGTTTG